CTAAATATAACCTAAATATAGCCTAAGTATAGCCTAATACAGCCTAATGTAGCCTAAATATAGCCTATATTTGTAATCTAATTATAGGCTAATTATTAAGTGCTATTTATTAGCATTCTAATAAATATTATATTTTTTTCTTCTCAAAAGTTCTCCGGACCATACTTACGTGATACGAAAGTTTTCTCAAAAAATTAGAAGATATAAATTTCGAAGTTATTACAAGATCTTGCTCGATTATTGAATCGTAAAAAATATCTCTATATATAAGATAAATTTCATTTGAATTTCTCACTTGAATCGCAATTACAAATCGACTTTCAAGATTCGTCTATTGAACTGTTCTATGACCATCTTTCAAGATTAGTTTCAGCTGAATTTCTCAGCAGAAATATGACTATAAATACGGGCCTTAAACATATCAGTTGCTATCCTGAAATGCAATTTTTTAATTATAAAGGCAAAGTATAATAACATCTATATAAAAATTATTATTAACATAAAATCTTTCGATGAAAATGCCAATATTTATTTATCTTGTATTAAGGGCAACTCTGGCAAATACGCCGCACTAGAATTTATGCCACAGAAATCAGAAAAAAAAATAGAAAGAGTGAGAGTAATATTGCAACTACTCTGTTAATATCTTTTATGTTATATACGTGTTATAATTTTATTGTGTTATAATTTCAACTTCTTACTATTAATGCTTCTTACTATTCTTAATATTAATGAAATTATTGTGAGTTAAATCTCGATTTATCATTGTATAATAAGTAGCGCGCCATCATATATTATAATCTATATAAAATGATTATTGTAGGGCGCGTAAAAAACTTATTGTTAGTAGTTTATTTTATGAGAATAGTAAAGCATGTTGTACAACAAAATATAAATGTTTTGCTCTTGTATTCTTTGTTTAATTTGTTGTCTTATATGTCCCACCTGTTTGGGATATACGGCATTTTTAGCGGATGGGATTTATGTCCAAAGCAAAAGTGCGCAGATTGGATTCAGTATGCTAAATGTAATAAACGCATTACATGAAATATATCTCATGTAATGACCTAATATAGGAAGATTGTAATTATTATCTATTACTTCATATACATATTTATCATTTTTATTCCTTAATAAAACTTTGTAAACATATTTTATAGTTATTGTGTCATTTTACGTCTTATTTATAAGCATTATTTGTAAATTTTTTATGAACCGTACATACCCCTATGAGTAGCCGTATATCCCATTCCGATGGCAAAAGAGTTCGTATTAAAAAAATTCATTTTTTTAATACGAAAAATACGTATTTCGGATTTCTAATATTTTTTCATAGTATAAACAGTATAAAGTTTTTGCTGATATAATTCGTTCACTTTAAAAATAGTACATAATAATACTTAATAAATTAAGTTTTTGTTAGATGCAGCGTATATACCGAAGTTGCCCTATATTAATATCTTAATATCTTGTATATTAATATCTTGCATTATATATAGATATATATATATATATA